GATTTCCACTAAGAGTGTGGAATTATTCAAGAAACTCTTGGACGAGTTCCTTGGAGACCGTAACATACAGGGGTACAAGTACTCCTAAGAGCAAAATCACACATGGACTCATACACACGCACACACCAGCTCAAACATAAATGCATACACACAATAGGTTGTACTTATGTCTTTATTCAACCTCAAATACTATGTAACTATGTTTGCGGGGTCGGGAAAATTGAAACGTTTTGTGGGGTATTTTTAATTTTATTTAACTTTTTTATTTTTAACATTTTTTTTTAACTTCATTGCTATCACATGGGTGGGCTCACAAGCTCCTTATGTGATGGCACATTTGAGATGACAGGTTCTCTTTAAGGTGACATTAGGGGGTCTATTGGACCCCTAGTGTCACTTCAGTGGGGAATGAGAGCTGCCTGCTGAGGCAGCTGAATGTAAATACAGCATGCAGTGGCTGGGAGCAATAGCCAGCTTCCTATTGGCTATTTTAAATTACAATAGCAGGCTTGCTATTGCATCGACCCACTACCTACTGTCAATCAGCAGAGGAGGGAACTGAAGGATAAAGTTTTCCTTCAGGTCCTCCTCTGCTGGCATGGTAGTGGGCGGGTGCAATAGCCAGCCGGCTATTGCAATTTAAAATATCCGATAGCAGGTTGGCTATTGTTTCCAGCCGCTGATGGGTGACTTTGACGCCGGTGTTGTATCAATCCCTCGGGTTCGAGTCCGAGGGATTGATAGAACACCTGCAGAAGAGGGGGAGCAGTGGAGGTACGAGGTGGGGGCAGCAGGGGAATGCATAGTCACAGCAGTCTTTCCTCCGCTACTGGTGCTGGCTGCAGTGGTCTCGTGTCCCCGATGCCTCTGCTAATACAGGTGGGGAGAGCAGCGGGGATTGAAAAGGACACAGATCATTGCAGCCAGCACAGGCAGGGAGAAGAACGGAGGAGTGATTGCGGGGGATTCAACTAATTGATAATGAGAATCGTTAAGAATTCTCATTATCAATTATAATCGATTAGTTGTTGCAGCCCAAGTCTTTAGCCATGCATTTAGCATTCTAATCTCCTAGTATCTTTCCTGTGTTGCATGTGACAATATTGGATAACCTTGGAGGTCCTTCCCTTCAGCTTACCACCCAGTTCTCTAACCTGAGCCTCAATGATCTTTCATCTACCATTTGTTCTGTCATTGGTCCCAACATGTGGGTCATGCTCAGGCAAACTGTTCGGTTGCGGAGTTTCTGGTGACAAATTATTCACAGTCCTCACCGCCCCTACTAGATGGGGTGATCTCCTGGCTGTAAGGGGTAGCAGTAACATCTAGAACTGCCTCCTCTGGGTTTGCAATCATAACATCTTACAAGCCCCCTATGTGATAGCATATTGGCAGTGACAGGTCCTCTTTGAGGTGATACTGGGGGTCCAAAAGACCCCTTGTTACTTTTCCACTTTAACCACTTGAAGACCAGGTGCTTACACCCCTTCCTGGCCAGGCCATTTTTCAGTATTTCGCGCTGCAGTACATTGACATTTTTTCCGTCATACAACACTGCACTGAAATGAATTTTAAACCATTTTTTGGGTACAGACATAGCTTTCTTTTGGTGGGATTTAATCACAACTGGAGGTTTTATTTTTTACTATATTAAGGAAAAATTACTGAACATTTTGAAGAAAAAAAAAACTTTTTTTTACATTGTTAGGAAACAATTATTATTACCCAAATTTTTGGTAAAATATGGGATCACGTCGAGTAATAGACACCAAACATGTCAAGCCTTAAAATTGCGCGCGCCCGCAAAAAACGACCATACCCAAAATTGACCATAGGCGACGCTTTAAAAGCTTTTACCGCTCATCAGTTTGGTGTTATCAGTGATTAATGGCCCTAGAATTATTGCTCTCACTGCGACGATATGTAACGTGCGGCGTAATGGGCGCAATCGTCATTTTCGCAAGTATGCGCACCCGACACATGTTTGCACGTGTGTATGCATGGGTGGAGACTTTCAAAAATATATATTTTTTCCTATTTTTTTTCACTTAACGTTATTGTTATCACATGTGGGGCTAAAAACCCTCTATGTGATAGCAAAGAGGATGTGACAGGTCCTCTTTATGGAGACATCAGGGGTCTCCAAGACCCGTAATGTCACCTACAGAAATCTGCTCCACCAGCTTCTGAAGCTGGAAAGTGACACAAGAATGCAGAAGTGATGTAATATACATCACTTCCGCTTTCTGACACTGAAGAGGGTACCGATCTCCCTCTGACCCCTTTCACAGAGCCACCATGCTGGTTCCAGTTGTGCACTGAGCACAGTGGAGCTCGGGACCAGCGGGAGGGGGGCCGCACCGATCGGCACCTTATTCAAGTGATCGCTTGTATGTAAACAGGCATCGCTGCCTGTTTTTAAATTTGGGCAGTTTCCCGCTTGTGAGTGGGCGGGGCCAACATGACGTCTTTTGACGGCCTGTTACATCCAGGAAGCTCCCAGCCGGGAGGCGATTAAGCTATTGAAGTGCAGATAGCATCTCAATAGCTTATTGCTGAGCTGCAGTAGCCAAGCAATGACGGCTTAAGGATCGGAAGTGATGTAATACTCATCGCTCCCAGTCCCATAGACCCATTGTTCGCCAGTCTCCTCCCCAGCTTCCCGGGAAACACGGCGGGGGGTGGGAGGGGGCGGGCACTTTACCGTGAAAGCGATCTGACAGCAGCTGAGCCACCAGAATCGCTTCAATTGTAAAGTCCCGGCGGTCGTCTGTTTAAATGGGCCTGCTGTCACCGATGTATGCCTTAAGTCGGTGGCATTGAAAGGGTTAAACAAAAAGCCATACAATTCCCACTAACTTAATAAACATAGCCTTAACTATTCTAGCTTGACCAGCACAGATGTCTTGAAAATGTCTTTCTTCTAATATAGGTGAAGAAAGTGACATTAAACCCTCAGATTTGTTAACATAAACTAATACTGTAATGTGTGCCTTACTGTAATCCATGGTCGTTTCCCTTCTCTTTGCTGCTCTTCCTTTTAAATCCTCATGTCTTCTCATGCTTGGGGAGAACTTCCCTTTGCAGCTCATTGCCTCTTCCTGTAGTGCTGGCTCAGGTTTCAAACGTACACACAGACACCATGTAGCCATTCCGGAGACAAGGCAGTCTGCTGCAAAACAGAAGTTCTCCCCAAGCATGAGAAGAGATACGGATTTAAAAGGAAGAGCAGCAAAGAGAAGGGAAACATGTTTTATGTTAAAAAATCTGAGGGTTTAATGTCGCTTTAAGAACATATTTCATGCACAACGCAGTGGCATCTCTCCAGTTCCAAGCATGGCATCCAGTTCCAAGCATGGGCTTTACTTCCTTGGCCTTATTGTTTCGTTGTTCCACTTTGTTCTCCAGGCCAGTCAACATGCCTTGATTGGTCCCAATGCTGCCCAATAAAATACAGATTGTCTGATGTGATAAGTACTTTGGCAAACTAAAAACAGAATCCCTCGGGTAGTTAGAACTGACCAAATTCTTAATGTTCTTCAAAGGTACATACTGAAGTAGGTTGTATGGTATCTTTGATTAGTGTATACCTTTCAGATAAATAAGAGAGCTGAATTCACTGTGAAAATGCTAGCTGTTATTGCAAGCCCACACACTTTAATACTTTCTGATTTGAAGGTCCACCACAAGTTTGAAGCTTACAGAAAAGTCGAAATACATTTTCTGTATTCTTGTACCAGGTAGGTGATTCCACGTATTAGCCATTTTATGACCAGAGGCTATTGATGCCTAGATACCCAGGCCCAATTTAGTAGTCAGCTAACTTGCCAATAACTGTAATTTGCATACCTAAATTATTTTTATATACTTTTAGGACATCTAAGCCTTTTTATTTTTCAACACACAAGCCTTTTAGATGTAAGGACATGTACGCCCTTATTATTTATTTCTATCGGACACCAGCTGTCAAAGGGAAACTTTAATAAACAGAATACAGACAGGAAGGGTTTAAAGGTAGAGGGTCAGCATAGCTACCAGGAAACTGACTCTTTATGGCAAGATCAGCAGTGGTAGCCCCCATTTTCTCTTATATGTTTCTTTCAAGTTTGGCAGTTCAAAAGAGGGCCTTGTTCTTAGAGTGGGTTTAGGGTGCCCATAAACGCCCCACAACTGCTCTGCTTAGGTGACACATGCAAAGGAAGGACTTAAATTACATGATATGGTAATATCAATTACATGATATGGTGATGGCAAAGGTGAGTCCTTTAATTACATGATATGAAAATGTACATCATGTGAACATCTGGTGACAAACATACTTTACAATCTAATTGTACCAAAATATGATCTTTAAGTTTTTTTAAGTTCATGGATTTTAAAGCTAAACTCTGGACACAAAATCTTGAATTTAAATATACATTCATCTATAGCCCAAATGGATATAATCCACTTTGCAAACCCAGATATTACCTTGCAGTGACATAATCACTGTGTTGCACATAGAAATCTACAGGAGGGGGTGGATACAAGACCAGTCACCCTACACAAGGGGAGAGAGATGCAGTGACTGATCTTAATTACAGGAAACTCCAGCAGAAAGGAAAAGTTGTACACTGGATTATTGCACTAATCTTGTAGAAATAGACAAAGCACGCCATGATTCAAGTAAGAATACACATGCCTCTTGTAGTTTGATAGTATTTCCTTGTAGTTTAGCGTTAATCATCCATAGCTTGTTAATGACTGTCTGAGACTCCATACTTAGTGAGACAAATCCTCTATTTAGTTCTATAAATGGCACAGTCAGAAAGTTGGGGTTTACTTAAATATCTTATGTATTTCTTTTGAGGTTGGAACAAAGGGATTTGAAAACAATCATCCAATTAATAAATGCTTTAATATAAAAATTATAACTAAGAAACTCTGTTAAACGTTTGCTCGACTGCAGTATCCTTCTGTTATGGATAATAAGCCACTTTGATTTTTCTGTTGCTTCACAGCAGGGAGTATGAGCATGATGCTTTACGTAGAAAGTTCAATCATGCGAGAAATACAAGCTCCGAGGATGAAGATTATGGATGGGGCGGTCCAGCTACTGATCTGTAAACTACTGAATGATCACCTACATACCACGGGATTTCAGCATAAACTGTACACCAGCTTTCTTTATATCTTGTTGAGATGCTACAATGAACAAATTTTATATGCATATGTTGTTATTGTTTGTATTTTATAATAAATAAGCTTTAACCACCTATGTGCATTTAATTAATACATTTGCCAAAGTTTTCTTAAGTTAAGCTAACCATACACGGTTATATTTCTGCATTGCCCTTTGAGGGACACGGCTCTGAAGAATTCTGAGATATAGTTATGCTGCTGCCTTCAGGAGAGATGGACCTTCCCTCCTGCAGGTTGCTGGGACCTTCCCTCCTTTTTACTATTGTTTGTATAATTTAACTTTTCCCCGCCATTATGAAAAACCTATGATGCACTTGCTTTATACTGTGCTTGTGTGCACACTCACGCTTCCTCAGCATGGATGCATTGAGCTGATCAGTGGTGTGTCCCCAGACCTCTAGTGAGGATGCATGTGCCACCTCAGCTCTCCTCCTGCCCTCATACCACACAGCTGTAAAGGTGCCTATACACCTGCCGATTATCGTACGATCACCCGCGATTATCGTACGGTAATCGGCAGGTGTATGGACGACTTTAGTCTTCCGAGCACGCTGGAAAACCTGGCGAAAATCATACGATTTTCGGCGGGTTGGTAGCGTGCTCGGAAGACAAATGGCGCACGGGCCCGGTGTGCGCAAGTGCACACTGCCCGCTCAGCACTGCAATCATCGGAAGCCCTCCCCTCAAGTAGGATCTGCCTGTCCAAGATGGGCAGGCCGTACGAAATTTGAATCATCTTACAACCATCACACAACGAAATACACTATATTGCCAAAAGTATTGGGACACCCCTCCAAATCATTGGATTCAGGTGTTCCAATCACCTCCATGGCCACAGGTGTATAAAATCAAGCACTTAGGCATGCAGACTGCCACCTGTGCAGTAAGGCTATCTGTGAAATTGCCTTGCTACTAAATATTCCACGGTCAACTGTTAGTGGTATAACAAAGTGGAAGCAACTGCATGAAGTGGTAAGTCACGTAAAATGACAGAGCAGGGTCAGCGCTTGCTGAAGCGCACAGTGCGCAAAAGTCGCCAACTGTCTAAAGAGTCAATAGCTACAGACCTCCAAACTTTGTGTGGCCTTCAGATTGGCACAACAGTGCATAGAGAGCTTCATGGAATGTGTTTCCATGGCCGAGCAGCTGCAGCCAAGCCTTACATCACCAAGTGCAATGCAAAGCGTCGGATGCAGTGGTGTAAAGCACGCCGCCACTGGACTCTAGACAAGTGGGGACGTTTTCTCTCGAGTGACGAATCACGCTTCTCTGGCAATCCAATGGACGTGTCTGGGTTTGGCGGTTGCCAGGAGAACGGTACTTGCCTGACTGCATTCTGCCAAGTGTAAAGTTTGGTGGAGGGGGGGGATTATGGTGTGGGGTTGTTTTTGAGGGGTTGGACTTGGCCCCTTAGTTCCAGTGAACAGACCTCTTAAGCCACTGACCTCTACATGAATGCCTGCGTTGGCAGTAAAAGGTAGGATGACAGGCTTCTCATTCTGTGGAGGTACCCACTCCTCCTCCCCATTAGGGGTAGCATGGCTTTTTGGCTGCTGGCTCACCAACAAATTATATGTCATCAAATTGGGTCATATTACAAACTGGATGGACACTCATAGTGAATGAAAGATGCAGATGATTTAAATCTCAGGGTAGGTGACTACTGTGCAAACAATTCTGGCGTTTTTTTACTAAAACTACTGGTCACAGCCATATATGTGGAGGCCCAACTGATTTCTACATCTATACTCATACCTTTGTACAAGCTCCTTTACAACATATGTCCTGTGTATGCCCATAAGCTCCTGAAGAGCGGTGGTACCGCGAAACGCGTAGAGCAAGAGTTGAGCACTTCTCCATGGAAAAATATCTATAAATATTTTTATATATAAATCAAAGTGGTCATGGTAATGCCTAAAAAGTAAATTTTCTTCTGTTCTTTCTTATTCAACAAATTATGTCACTGCGTGTGTCAGTAAACTGTTGGTGCTGTTAGATGCCAAGGCATTTGCGTCCTCCAAACAAAACTTGCACTGCATAATTTAGCAACACACTGCCTAACCTACAGACTAAATAACTAACCGTTTTTTCTCTTCCGTTCATTGAAGGACACAGGGAACAGATCTAGGATCATGTATTGTAGGGTTATATTGCCACCTGCAGGAGAAGGACGCTAGGCACAAAACTAAAGACCAATTACAGCCTAGGGATGACCCCTGCCGGTGGCCCAACCCCCCACCTGCTGACAGGTCTCCAGTTTTTTGCCTAGCATCAGGAGTAAGGAGCTAAGAATTTTATCTCGGGTATTCTTACCTGGCTTCCTTTTTTACTGGCTGGATCTTCTAGCAAGTGTTGTCAGGGCGACATGCTGGATGTCATGGATCCTTGTAGTTTTCCATGGTGGAACGGCGAACGCACGCAGACTCTGCCACGATGGGTCGGCTGCGACGGCTCTGTTTCGACGGAGTTGCCTGTGGGTTCATCCCGGGGGAGTGCATGTGACGGGGGGTCATGGCCGGCCAATCACAGCACTCCTTACAGGTTGGCGACGCCGCAATTGCGGTGGGGGGCATCCGCTCCACGATACCTACGCGTCCTGACTTCTGGAGGATCCGGCGTGGACGTCTCGTAGATGTAGGTGGAGCAGAGTGGACCGGGTTCTCCCTACTGGTGGTATGTATGTGAGGGGGTCCTTGCGAGCGCCAGGTAGGTTGGGCATGCTGCAGCCTGACTGACTTCAGTCTACCTTGACCCGGCGGGTCTTGGTGCCAGGTCGCTGTGGGGCCTGTGGGCTCCGTTTGTCCCTTCCCCTCCTCATCACCTCACCCTCCTATGTCGTTGAAGGACGTGAGGCATTGGGTGGCTGTGTCCTGACTGGATCGACATCAAGGATGCCTACCTTCACATCCCCGTCTGTTCCTTCCATCAACGCTACCTTCGTTTTGCAGTGGGGGACGACCATTACCAGTTTGTCGCTCTAGCCTTCGGTATGGCATTGTTGCGTTGCCGGGGAATCTTGGTTTTGGGGTACCTAGACGATCTGCTGAAGGCGGAGTCGCATTCTACTCTGGTGACAGACCTTGCGGTCATTGGAGGAGTTTGGCTGGCTCCTGAACTCCCAGAAGTCGTGCCTAATGCCATCAACTCGTCTGGAGTATCTGGGCCTGGTTCTGGACTCCACCCAGGCGCGGGTTTTCCTGCCCCCAGAGAAACTCCTAAAGCTTCGCTTGCATGCGTGGTTGTTGAGATTGCGCTGGTGGTCGACGATCCGATCTTGCATGAGGGTTCTGGGTTTCATGGTGGCCTTTCGAGGCGGTACCTTACGCGCAGCACCACACACGGGTTCTTCAGGGGGACATCTTGTCGCAATGGAACAAGTCTCCCTTGTCCCTGGACAGGGCTGTTCGGGCGTAGAGGGCCTCCCTGCTTTGATGGCTTTGGTCTACGGCTCTAGTGTTGGGCAAGTCCTTCCTTCCCCTCCGCTGGACAGTGGTCACCACGGATGCCAGCCTTTTGGGCTGGGGGGGGGTCCTGGGCTTTTGGACGATGCAGGATCGTTGGTCGTCAGAGAAGAACCTGCTCTCGATCAACGTGCTGGAGCTTCGGGCGATCCGGCTCTCCCTTTCACATTGGACGCACCGTCTTCCTTTAATTTAAAAAAAAATGGCTCCGTCGATGTAATCCAGCGTAAATCACGATGCACGACCCCCGCCGACCCATCGAAATCAAAAAAGTCCCACCGCACAAAGACTGTCCGATCCCGACGAAAAATCGCCGCACTATGACATTCAGCCCGAAAATAAACAGATGGGAGGAGCGAGCCGTGACGTCACGGCTCGCTCCGCCCATTTGACATTCTCAGCTGTCCAATGCTACATAGCATTCGGGAACTCCCGAATGCTATTCGGGTCTGTGAGCCCTCGGCTCGTGTCATATGAAAAGCATTACGACACCTCGGCTCATAGACCCGAATAGCATTCGGAAACCCTCGACTAGCATTCGGGAGTACCCGATTTCTATGTAGCATTTGACAGCTGAGAATGTCAAACATCACGTCTCGCTCCGCCCATCTGTTTATTTTCGGGCTGAATGTCATTTTGCAGCGATTTTTCGTCGGGATTGGGACAGTCTTTGTGCGGCGAGACTTTTTTTAAAATTTCGGTGGGTCGGCGGGGGTCCTGCACCGTGATTGACGCTGGATTACATCGATGGAGCCATTTTTTTTTTATTAAAGGAATAGTCAAAAATTCACTGGGCTTTTTACTATTTGATTTAACCCTTAAGTGAATGGGTAGAGGACGATCGAGGGCCCCCCCTCCCTGCGCCTTACCTGCCAGGCCAGTGCTCGGATCAAGGGTCTGATAGGACTGTTAGGGGGGAACCCCACGTTTTTCCCCATTTTTTGGGGCTGGGGTTCACCCTTAATTCCTACCAGACCTAAAGGGTCTGGTATGAATTGGGGGGGAACCTCACACTTTTTTTTTTCTTCATCTTCTGCAAACTAAATTACTTTTTTTTTCCTAATGTCATTTTGCTGCAACGAAATTTCGTCCAAAAACGAAATTTCGACCGGACTACCGCTAACAAATTTCAGGAAATCGTGAATTCTGATTCGTTTGCATTCGTTTTAGCTGTAATTCGGATACATCCGAATCTCCGAAATTTCGTCCGAATTGCGTTTCGGAACGAATCGCACATGTCTAGCGGACGCAGTGGATGCCCTGGTGGCTCCGTGGGATCGTTAAGGTCTACTTTACGCGCTCCCTCCGATTTACCTTTTGCCACGGCTTCTTCGCAGGATAGCGGCCGAGGGCATTCCCGTCATCCTCGTGGCTCCGGATTGGCCAAGAAGGGCATGGTACGCGGATGTGGTTCAGTTGGTAGCCGACGTTCGTCCGGATCTTCTATCCCAGGGCCCGCTGTGCCGTCCGTCTTTTACAGTCGCTGGATTTGACGACGTGGCTGTCTCTTGGACACGGTTATTTCGCCGTGTC